GACAAGCTATCTTATATCTACAGAGAAGGAAAGTGAGAGTTGCTTTTCACCCCTAGCTATGTCATTGTGTTACAAAAGTGGACACCGTGGTTAGAAAGAGCAGATAAGCATTCCTCAGAATGGCAGAAAGAATAAAACACTTTATCACTTGATGTTCTTACGCAAAAAAGTTAATTTTAAATCCTTGATGAAGTCTTCTTGCAAAACAATCTTTCTAAAGTCGTTAATGTTTTCATAAGATAAAGGAAAGAGTAACAGAAAAACCAGTTTCAGGGATTGTGCAACAAAATAAACTGTTGTTAGAATAGTGACAATTAAAACAAAAATAACACCATAAGAAGTAAAACGTACATGTCTATCCTATCCACAGGGAGTCTTTACTTCTTAAGAAGAATTAAACAAGTAATATTTTTATCATGTGAAAAAATTGGGATGACTTATTCATCCTGATTCATGAGAATTTCTATTTTAAGTCAGAAAAACTTTTTCCACTAATGGAAGCTTGACCAGAAAATTTTCTCCCTGCTCTGTTGGTCGAAAGAATGTTGACCAGCAATATCGGTCCCATGAGAATCCAGCTGCAAGCCTGAACATCAGGGCCTAACGGCTGTAATTAATGATGTCCTCTCTAATGGAGGTGAGCCTGTAGTCTAGTCTCCCTAGTCCTTGTACCCATGAACTTAACAGTGTGTGTATTAACTATGAGGCGACTTTTCAGCTCCCGTGCTCCACAGCACCAGTTTAGCCTCCAGCCTGTCCCCCAGGCTGGGCACCCATCTCTGCTGTGCACTCAGTGCCCACTGCCCCATGGTGCTCTCTAGAAAAGGAAGCATTAACATGTCATTTATAAATATTCCCTGCATTCTTACCTAATTGTTTAGCTATTAGTGTCAGTTTGTATTGCCTTATGTTTCAAAAAGAAAGAGAAATTTAATCATCTCACAAGCTCTTAAAAGCGACGTAAAAAATGCAGACAAGTTCAGAGAAACCCGGAGAATCCTTGCCTAAGAGAAAATTTAACTAACAGCGAGTAAGGCTGTGGAATGATAAATGCTCTGTGAAGTTTTGATTCAAGAGGTGATACTCAGTTCACAGACATTCTCTTTGTAACTATTTCCTAAAATAGACGTTTCATTTTTCTCCCTTTTGTTTTCTGTTGCTCAATGATTGGCATTTTTCCTATACACACTAGAAGAAAAAGAATTAAAATTTTATTAAGCTGTGCCAAGCATCACTACAATCAGTAGAAGAAACCATATTCTCCTTTCACTCCTCTCATTTTTTTACTTGTGCAATCCAGTAGACTCCATTAGAGTAGCTATTACTAAGTCAGATCAACTGAAAAAAGTCAGACTAGAACTTAAATTTTAATAGAGAAAAAATATTTGTTTGGACTTGTTATTTTTTATTTTGTTTTTCTTATTACGCTTTCCTCTCTGTTAAACTGAGAACATTATGTGGACCACACAGGCAACTATAAGAATGAGATTGGTATCCATTTCAAATGTTTCTCCCATTATTATAAGCAAGCAAGCAGTATTTTAATGGATAAAATGGGTTTCTAAGCCCGATTTTATGCTCTTGGTTTAATCGTTATAGTCAATCATAAACTTACATAAATAGCTTGACTGTCACTCTTTATTTTAAAGTACATACTTTAACAAAGTGATCTTGCAGCCAGAATTTCTTTAACATTTTAAATTCTACTTTTATTTCATGAGCGATCATACTCAACCGAATGAGAGTGAAATAATATGTAGTATGATAGAAAGGACCTGTGCTGCTATCATATGAAAGTTTTCAGACACATGCAGTCATTTCCCGATCTGCTTAACTAAATTCACTTAAATTTACTTGTGTAAATTTGCTTAAGTAATTTACCCAAGTAAATTCACAAGTAACTTGTCTAAATTTATATTGTTTAAAATTATTCCATGGAATTCATCGGAGCTTTTTAAAATCCACAGTAGTGTAAAAGAGAACAGATTTGGCCCACTGTTGCCTTACTTATGCATAACCGGAAGGTATGATCTATCCATCCTTTCCTTAATATTAAACATACCCGCTAATTAAAAGCCAGAAGAGAAATTATATTCCCAAAGCCATAGGTGTCAGAGGCAAGCAGTCTTCCTATCAAATTCAATGTATATACCACTTCAGCAGAGCTGCACATTCTATTCACAACTCCTTCCTACACGTCTTCCCCCCAGACAAATGTTCAGTGTATTTCTATCTACACTGTATCTTTGTTTCTAAAGATTACTCACAGAATTTGGAATCCATGTATAAGATACCCAGAGGCATTTGGGTTGGTTCTGTTGCTCACTGAGTAACAGCTTTTTTTAGCAAATTCACACCAACAGCAAAAAAATACAAGAAAGGCAGAGCAGAAAACTAGATGCATTCCCATTGCCCAGATCTCAAACTATTGCTTTATTAAGTCTCTTTACAAACTTTTACACCTAGTTCTCCTTTTAAACACCTATTCTGACTCTAAATTACACTCTTCCACCGGGAAAACGAGGTCTATGAAATATGGAATACAAAAATTTAAATAAAATACAGATTTTCTGTTTCAACACATTTGATGATTTCAGAATGTTTTGGTATTTGAAAGTTTTTAGCATTTGGATTTTTTACATCCGATTTGGAATTTTAAAAGGAATTTTAGAAACCAAGCTAGGAGATAGACAAAGTGCTTCACCGTCAGATAATACTGAAAATAGGTTCTGGAACAAGCATAGAAAATATTTCACACAGTTGCATTTAGTTTTGATTTGAAAAACACTGGAGAAATGGATATTTAGTCCAGCATGGGACCAGTTTCTAATTCAAGTCCACAAATTGTTCAGGGGTAAAAAACGCAATGAGATTATGAATTTTCTAACCGTGCCTGAACAGGTGTTAGCAGGATTAGAACCGTACTTGTGGAGCAAAACTTCATTGCATCCCTCGAACTTCTCGTCAAAGTAACAGGATGGTACCAGTTAATAAGATGAAAAAGCCAGCCGCAGATTATTACTGGAGGGAGTAAGTAAGCAGGTGAAAAGTTCCCTGTCTTTCAGAGGGGTGTGCCTTCTGTGCTTTATTCATGTCCTTTTGGGGTTGTATGCCTAAAAGCAAAATCTAGCACATCTACTATCCCAGTACAGTTTATTGAACAGAGTTTAAGACTGTGCTCACTACACGTGTAGAAATATTTTCCCCCTTATAATTAAAATTCTCAGAACTTTAAATACAAACGTATTGACATGTATTTATGGACTGATTTCAGACAGCACTGAGCTACTTTTTCAACGCTGTTAACACAATGGGATAAGTTCCCCCATTTCCCGCGAGGATTTTAAAAAATAAAATAAACAAAACAAATGCAGACACACAAAAAACCCCACCAAACACCAAAACCAAGTCACACCTGAACAGGTGTTAGCGGGATCAGTAAGACCTGAACATTCCCCAAAATGGAAGTAACTGTAGAAATATTATGGTAGATAATAGATGGCTGCCTGTGAATGCATGGCCCATCAGCAATAAGAGCTCTGGAAGAGAAAACAGTCGCTCCCCTAATGCACAACGTTATGCACACACGGCTCTAGGTAGTCTGAAACTCCCAATCAACCTGTATCTGTTATACGCAGGATATGTTAGACAGACATGTTCATACCACATTTTCATGGATTCTGCTGACTAAAACAGGGAAAGAGACAGATGATAAATGTAAAATTTCTATTTGTATACCAAGATCCTAGTGATCTTCACAGTAAAAGTCAACATGCATAAAGAAAAAAACCCACAGGTTTGTTTAACAGCCTGCTAGTAAATCATCATACTAAAGGATGGGGAGGTACCTGAATAAATAACACAAAGTACATCTTAAATCATCTACACAAAATACAGAGTCTTCACTTTGCAAGTTCCCGCCTCTAAGAGGCCACTAGGCCTCCTCATTCAGGAGAGTCCTTAGTTTGAAAAACTGTCAGCAAAACAATACTTTTCATTTCTATGCCTTAGGGTTTTTTCATATGTTTGTTTTCTGTCGCCTAGTCCATCTTTATCAGAAGCCCAACAGGAAGAATATAAACTGGCTTGAAAACAGCCGTTGAAAGAAAAATATGATAAAATATTCAGAAGAACATCTAAGAGATGTTTTCTAGGAAACATTTAAGAATTGAAATCTGTCATTTCCATTTCCATTCAACACTGTAAGTAGGTCATAGATGCTGCACGCCTTATGCCAGCACCTCAGAGTTTGAACTCAACTATTGTCCGTTCCACTGACACGACGAGATGCCTTTTTCTCCAAGAGCAAACAAAACCAGCTATTTTTCCAGTTTCTTGCTGTAATATGTTAATTTGGTGAAACTGAAATGTCTTACCAAAATTGGTAAGTTTGAATAAAACTTGTCTCCAAGTTTTCTCAGATTCTCATATTTCTTGTCTCTTGTTTCTCAGATTCAGAATGCTCTGCTCTCTAGAAAGGGCAGTTCACACTAGAATAGGGATTTGAACCTGCTCCACTCCTATCCTAGGAGATGCTCTGCCCATCATACTTGTATTTGCCCTTGGAAGAGTTCCTTCTCTGGGTTTATTCATGAGAACGTTCAAAACTCCTCACTTATCTCAGTGTGGATTAAGACCAAAAGCAAAAACCGTAAGTGAATTCTTGTGGTTTGACAGCTCTAATGAGAATTCATACCATCCTATTGTAGATTGCACAAACACATCCATAGAACAATACATACCGAAAGGCCTAAAGCTATACTTGTCACTTCACCTTCTTTTTCAACATGTGCACTAATCAGCCTTTTGCAGTGATGGAAACAGGAGTCATTGAAGTGTAATGGTTGGAAAAACATAATATTGTAGTCACAAATGCCATCTGAATTGCTACTAAAAGTGCCCACAAAAATTACAAGAGAAAAGCAAAGAAGTCATCACAGACACCAAAGTTTTAAACAGCCCTGACGATAGCCTAAACTGGTAGTTTCCATTTCACTTACCAATTTGTGGGTGAGCTGGATGGTAATAAGGGGAGATCCTGACAGATTGTGGGACAACTTGGGTAGAGGTTCCACTTTGATAGAGATAAGATAACTGGTTGCTGAGATCATATAACCTTTGTAGGCAGCAGCTTCAGCAATCCTTGGAAAGAAACAAATATATTAGGCAAGTAGAACAACACAAAATTTTTTTTAATTCATCCACAACACCCACCACCACAGGAACACGGGACCTCCTTTTTCCATTCAAGTCAATGAATTTCTATAGGGGAGCAAGATCTGGCCCCAGAAGATCCTACAGGACTAGAAGCAACAGCTACAAAGTATAGGGAACAGCTTTAGACATTAGGAGACTCAGTATCGTAAGTATTCCTTCACTCTGCTCCTCTTTTGCAAAGGTTTACAAGCCTTGCTCAAAGTGCTTTAGACAATTAGAATCCTAAGTAAGTGAGTAAGGGGTCTAAAAATAACCTAACTAAGCAAAGCAATCCAAGTGAGGAGAAAACTTGCGGGGGTTTCAGGCCGTCTAATTAAACGTACATATCAGTGTGTAAGACATTATATATAACGCATCTAAACATATATGTAGGAATATATTTAGAAGTAATTTATAGCTTTGCTTTGAAGAATTGATTATGTCCAGTTAGGTTTGTCAGAGAGTAACTCGGGTCACAATACAAACAGCTGAACCTGACTAAACATCTGATTAGTCCAGGTAATACTTTTTTCCTAGGCTGAAGTAATTCTGCAGTACATAAGAACCCTTTTATTTCTGCTTTCAACTAAAACTTATGACCGGCATTTTCGCACATTTAGGAGTAACTAAGATCCATTTGGCTGTAGGGTAAAATTTTTTACATTATCAGTAACAAACTGTGCAGGAGTAAAATGGTCTCTGTCATCCACCTCTTCAGGATGTGAATGAATGGTATTTACTGTGAGAAATATGAGCCATGGCAAATTAACCATCAGTGTGGGTTTCCAAACATAGCACACCACTGGAAAGAGCCAGTGTACAAAGCACATTAAAAAACATCTCATTTACACCTGCCACCTGTTTGCAATGGTTTCTTGTTTTTCTTTCAGGGGGAAAAAAAAAGTCATCAGACATTAAAATAACTTCATTCCGAAAACAACTTCATTCAGTTCCTCAGCAAGGTCAAATAAAACAGAACGCATTTAGCACAACCCCAAGCACCAGTCCTTAAGTTCTGACCACAAAAAACCAACAGTATCAGAGATTACTTCTGCTTCCAGTAACCAGCATGTGAATTGAATTTGTTAATCTCAGGGCAGAATCTTCTAATCTGATATGAAAAGTTTAGAGAAGGACTCGTAATGCTAAGTGGGTCTGTCATCCGATTACCTTCGGTGGGATTACTACAGATTCACACAAACTGTATATGAGCAGGAGCAGAACTGGGCGCAAAACCTTTTTTTGTTTTGATTTTTTTTTTAAAGAATCAAAACTGACTCCCCTGAGAAACTGCTATTTATGTAATCTGAAAATAGAAGTCATCTGTCTGTACAGCACAAAAGCTCCAAGAGTTTTGGGTTTAGCTTTCCACCACAACAGAAAAATAAAATTGCCCTTAAGAAGAAAATGGACAGGCTGCAAATTACAGGTGTTCAAGTAGCCCAGTGCTAGAAGGAACATAAAAGAGTCTTTAAAACAAACTACTCTGGGAAAACGTTGTTATTCTAGTGAAATGTAAGCAAAAAAGTTATAATAGTACAGCACAAAAAAGAAAACCAAGCAGGAGAGAACTGCATGCTTATTTTTAAAACAATTTTTGAATACCTGGGGTTTGATTCCACAGAGGAAAATCGCTAAGCTAGCATTCCCTGTATTACTAGTTTTTTAGATGCTGTTTTGGACAGATCTGCATCTAGAATTTTATAGACCTGAATCGGTAATGCATTACATACTGCAAACAGTTCAAATAGTTTGGATTAGTTATAGAAATCTAGATGTTCCTTCTCCAGTGTCTTTGTTTCTCTTTAACATTGCAGCAGGGCCAGGTCCTTCCTTCTCAAAAATGAGTGATAAAAATACATACAACTCAGTGGAACAGGAATGGGTCTCCAGGTTGTCCTATTCCACAAAATTCAGAGAATGTACACAAAGATGACATAGCTGTTTTATTTTCCTATTTTAGAGCCCCAGGAGCTGTAGACTCTATCACAATGCATTAGAATACAGTGTTTTGACATGCAGCGTCTTTAATCATATTGTGTTTGCTAAACTTTGACCTAAGTCAAGACCATATTAATGGTCCTGTACCTGGGTCAGGGCAACCCCCAGTATCCATACAGGCTGGGGGGCGAAGGGATGGAGAGCAGCC